GGAGGCGGCAGGCAGCTGCGGGGCTCCCTTGCGTTCGTTGTCCTGCGTGTTGGTTTTAGACTCTTTTTTTGCTGTACGTTTCCTTGAGGTTTCCTTAATTAGCAACAGACAGAACCTGGTGCGCTGTTTTGCAAAAGGATTTTTGCAAATCCTCTCCCCACCTCTTTCTAAGCTGCTGAGCGGAGCGGCTGGGGGAGAGCCCGGGTGTGAGCGCCTGCCCGCAGAAAGCAGCGCGTTCTGTGACCAAGGGGCAGCTCCCTGCTCAGAGGAGGGGGGAAGCTGGCGGTATCTGATGCTGGCCGAATAAAATTGGGTCTTTTGGCCTTTATTAGATTTCTGGCTAAATTGCTATGAAATTAGTATGTGTCTGGAACAATCCGGTGCCTGTGAGGTTGTAATGGGTTGGAAACACGGTGACTGAAATCGGAATTTGAGCCTCTTTTTTTCTTTGGGGTTGTTTCTTGGCTTGTGGCTTTTTTCTGTTCTTGCTTGTGGCTTGAGGCTGGCGAGGTGTTGGGTCGTGTGAGGTGTTCAGGTTTATCGAGCACTGTCCAATGTGACTTCTGAAGGATGGGTTTTCTTTCGTTCTAACGATATAGGAAGCTTTTGTGGCTTTAAACGTTGAGAAAACGTGTTGTGTCGTTTGTCTGTGGTGGTTCTGAGGCAAGGGTGCAGAACGGGCGTCTGGAAACACACGGTTGTGGCTTCACATAATGATCTGAAATTCTTTAACAATCACAAGTTAGGAAAAACAAGAATTCCTGATTCATCTTTGCAAAAATATATCTGAAATGGAAACTGTTGGAGTTGTGATCCTGTCCTGCGGCAAAATGCATTTCTGGCTCACGGCAATGTCCCGTGAAGCGGTGAAGTTACGCCAGTTAGTAACATCCTGGTGGGGTATTGGGGGTGGTGTGGGCTGCATCGGGGGGTTCATTTCTTCTCCTGCCAGCGGAGTGCTGGCTCAAGGTTTTGCAGTTTGGCGGGCAAAGGATGCGTAGCTAAATGTAGAGCAGAAAAAAATGCTGCTGTTTGGGGTGAGAACGGAAAAAGTATGTTATGAGCCAGCTCTGTAAGAATCCAGTGGATGGAGAAGGGAAGATACTCGTGGCTTTAGACTGTTGGTGTATTGCAGAGTGTTTAGGTAAGTGTAGTCTTTGGAGCTGCATGGTATTTTGCATAATAGGAAAGTTTTAAACCAATTTGCAAGGAAAAGAGAAAGAACTTTCCACATCTGTGATTAATATTTGTAACTACAGGCAGCCTGACAGACTTGGCCCTTTTAAACAGAGCGGGGAAAATACTTACAGTCTGCATAAGCATTATATGCGTAGAGATTATTAGTAAAAAAAATTACATGTGAAAATTCTTCGTTAGGAGCTGGGTTGTCTTGATGTTGAAAAAAAGGGCTGTGGGGCTCCAGTGAGTACCGGGTGGTGCCCCCGAACACGCTGGATGTCCTCGCAGCTTGAGCAGGCTGTGGCGAGAGGTGGGAAAACTGACCACAGAAATAGGCTGGAACTTACCCATGTGTTCAAACTTGTTGGAAAAATAAGTTGGAACTCAGTTCAAGTGTTCAAACTGCAGCTTGCGGTCAGTGTCCTGCTGTCCTGGGCGTTCTGTCCTTCCTCGAAATGCGGCCTGGGCACAGCAGGTCAGCTCAGAAACCCGTGAGAGGGGGGATAAAGCACTGCTCCGTTTTCAGATCAACGTATGGAAGAATAAAACTGCAGAAGCTTTCTGCCCCCTCATCTTTCCGACGGTGAGGTGAGCCCCCGCACAGTTTACTGGTGGTATTTAACTGGAAAAGGCTTAAATTGTGAAGAGTGCTAGACGGAAAGCTTTCAGTTGTGCCAATTTAACCAAGTTTTGTGTTGTCAAAATCCCCTGGTTAGGAATGAAGAGAGAACAGGCTCCACTAACCAGGAGGAAATGAGGAGGGATTAAAAAAAAAGTGGCTTGCCTTACTTGCATTACTTCGCAGGTTTTAATATTAACTTGGGTTATTAGGACACTTCTGATGCTGGCTGGGTAAGTACATGATTGATCAGCCTCACTGCAAACATTTACTTTCATGAATGCGTGGCTTGAAAGTGGAGGATGCGTTCTTTTCTATGTTTTCTGAGTTAATTTCTGTAATGTTTCTCAGAGGAGGTTCCTGTGGAGGTGAAAGTGCTGAGCTGGCATTGCATGGGAAGTTCAAACAACCAAAAAAAAACCCCCACCTACTTAAAAAAATGAATCTCTATAAGGTACCTGAGACACAGAAATTGAGACACTTTGTAGATACAGAGCCGCGTGTGCTGCTCAGCCCGAAGCCTGAGAGCTGCGAGGGAAATGCAGGCGTTGGCTGAAGGAGTAGGCTGGTTGCCTCGGCAGCTGCCACCTGCCCCCAGACCTGCTCGAAGCTGCCGTGGCTTTTTGGGGAGCACGGTGACGTTTGAACTGAACCTTGCTACGCTAAAATGTGCTGGC